ACCGCCGGTTGCTGCCCCCAGCCCCTTTTGGGCCTCAGACCCCCGGCTGCTGGGAGCGCTGGGGCTTCGCGTGGTTCCCCTGCCCCGCGCTGGCGGTGCGGACAACACTTTATCGCCAGTAATCCCCCGAGAGTGAACAGCCCCGGGACCGCGTGTGCCGCACCACAGGGACGGACGCCGACGGCTGTGCAGAGCCCCAGCAACCTCAGCCCACGAGTGAGCCACGAGGCTCCTTTTGGGGGAGCTTAGCAAAATGGCATCGCTGCGCTAAAAAACAAAACCAACGACGGAAGACTTCGATATCAAAAAACCTCGCCTTCTTTGCTAAAGCGGGTAGAAATCTTAGTCTCGTTCCTAAAGAACTTAATGCTTTTTGGTGAAATCCCGCGGCAGCAGCAGCCACTGACCCTCCGTGGCCACCCGGGCACGTGGCAATAGGCACTTTACTCCCCTCTGATGAGTTGCCCCGTTCACTTACCGTTTTCGCTTAGGAAATTTAGCTGCAAATTGAGCTATCACTTACTTACCAAGAGGTTTTTCTGGCCGCGCGTTCTGCATAAACGTTAAGCAAATACACAGAGGCACTAGGCATTGGAAATACATCAGCATGAACCATGTATGAGACCTACCATCACGCCTCGTTTTGGGGATGAGAAACACGTTTTCAGAATGTGAACACATGCCCTTTGAAATGTGAACTGCGCTTGGAGACCTGGTTTGGTTTGTTTCCAAAAAAAAAAAAAAAAAGCCCACAAAGCTGGGAATAAATGGCATTACGTGAAGCTTCTTCCCCAGAGCGTCTTGTGTTAATTCTAGTTCTAAGCGTCTTGGACTCCTTTCCAGGTGTTTTCCTACCTGATTTAGTCAGAACTGCCAAAATATTAAAAACTGAAAAGCTTCAAAATGACCTAGTTCCCCTGATAAACCAAGCCTTTGGTTTGGTTTGCCGCTTAGGGCTTCGTTAATTCAGGCAGTGGAAAGGCCGACTTTGGTTGTTGTACCCAGCAGCTGTTGTGACCGCTGAAACGGTTCAGCTGAAGTACTGAATTCACAGTCAAATTCAGCACGCCGCGCTTTTAGAAACAACACCTAAAATGCGAGTCCGCATCACACGACAGCGTCAACAGAGGGTAGAAGAGAGTCACGTCTCTCAAAGAGGCCCAAGTTTGCCTTTTATTTGCCCGCCGTCCGGCGCAATCTCAACGTGCGGTGGGCTCCGGCCCTCCCGTCAGCGCAGCAGCCGCCCCAGGCGTGCGCTGCCCCGGCGTTCGGGCGCTCTGTTCGCTCTCCTGTAACGGTCCGCTAGAGGACAAGCCGAATGTTAAAAACGGAGAGAGGCAGATTTACAAGAAAACAAGAAAAATCTGCCTTCTCGTCACGCGCGCTGGGACTCCAGGTCAGGCTGTGACAGCAGGAACGTGCCCGGCTGCCAACAAAAGGCGGTTCAAGCCTTGCCCGCCTCAGCCCGATTATTCCCGAAGGAGGTGGGAATCGTGAACGCGGCTGGCGAGGCAAGAAAATGCCCTTCCCTTTCCGCCGGCTCTCTCCCCGCTCCCCGGGAGACAGCGGCGGTGGTTTAAACCCTGGCTTTCCATCGCCTCGGATGCTCGTGCTGCTCCTGGGACTTCCCCTTCCTGAGCCCCCGGGCGGCTCCCTCCGCCCGCTCAAACGCTACATGAAGAAGAAGCCAACGCCTTCTGCAGCAAGATGGTTGCTTCTTCCTTTCCTTGGCTTCTCACGCGGCTCAAAGGTCCCGGGGCCGTCATCAGTGTGATCCCGCCGATCCAGCCCCAGTGGCGTGGCCACGAGCAGAGGGCAAGTACCTATATATCCCCCTGACGCCAGTGGAAATCTGGCATGTGCAAATACGTGACTTTCAGTTCCTGACCTTTACCAAAATATATGCCCTTAAAAAAAAAAAAAAACAAAAAAACCCAGAAAAACGGCTTCTCAGCATTGTACAAAGATGTTAGTTTTAGGCCTGGTTTTCATTTCATTTCAAGCTTTTGTCATTTTCTTCCCTATCGCCTTTTTCTAATCGCAGTGAAGCCCCTTTGTTCATGGGGATGTCAGGCTGGAGCGCGGCTGCAGCCAGCTGGGCCGAGGCCGGGACTAAAAAAAAATGCGGCGCAGCTCTGGGCGGCAGCGCGGGGGAGCCGGCGCTGCGGACCTCACTCCCGGGGGCTGTTCCCGGGCCAGCTTTCGCGGGTCCGTTCATTTACGTTCAGATATTTAAAGACGAGGAGGGTCAGGTCAGAGAAGCGCTTTGCAACTCCTGACTTCAGCTCGCCACCGAACGCTATCAGCGCCCTGAATCGCACCCAGACGGGCGCAGAAAATTATCTAATCTTCACGAAGAATGCGTCACTCTTACAGGAACCGCTCAGAGGGGAGAAAGGGGGGGGTGGCTGTGCGAACAAGCCAGCAGTATACGTTCATACAAGCAAACCTCTGAATTTTCACAAACCAAAGGGCACATAAACAAGTCAGAATAGTACAATGAGGACTGTGTGTTGTTTGTACAATACAGACTTGTCATTTATTATTTTCACGTAGCCAATAAATAATTGCCTTTATGTAGAACAAAAAGTCAAAACGGTATTCGGGACTGCTGGAAACGTAAAACCAATAACTAAATGAGCCCTTATGGCTGATGGAGGCCACTACTGTTGAAGTCAAATTCTAACCTCCATCCTTACCTCCTCTCCCTTTTCCAGTTGCTCACAACTTTCCCAAACTCCTTCTGGGGTGACATTTGCAAAGCTTAGTCCCAGCTCAAGACAAATCTTTCTGTAAAACAGTTTAAAAAAAGGCTATATCAACAATATCGTAGTTGCAGAGAAAAATTTTTTAAATGGGGAACGGTTGCGTTCAGATGACAGCAAAACAAATTAGATGACAGCAAAACAAATTATGCTTGAAACTTGCCTTGTTTTGAAAAAATGCATCTGTCCACAGTTAGCCCGAAAACTGAGAAGAACATGTATGACAGCAAAAACTTGCAGCCCAAAACGGCGGCATTTGGAAAATACCGATTTCTGGTCGTGGCAGGTTTTATGAGCCGAACAGCGAAGCGTGCACAAACAGGGGCCAGGGCGCGGACGCAACGCTGGCGTGCCGTTTGCAGGAGCTACGCAGGCGCCGCTGAGGGCGTGCGAAGGGCTGCCGGCGGGGCTTTAGGAGACAGGAGTCTTCACTTCCAAAGGTCTGCAAGGATGCCAGCGTGAGCTTAACTGAAGCGTGAGCGTTGCAAAAGCAAATATTAGCGTGACCAAGGCGGACGGCCCGTGGCGCTGCCCTCGCTGGCCCTAAACGAGCAGGGGCCGTCGGGTGACACCGCGGCTCGTAAGGGCACCGACGCGCGCCCGCCACGATACGCCGGCCGGGGGCGGGGGGGGGC